GCAATGAGACGCCATGCATTCTAAAAAAGGTAAAAACAACAAGTGAACACAAGTAAACCTAGATCCATTGTCCACCCTGTATGTAGCCATGACTGCACATGACTTGACAGCACAGTTTTGGGCGAGTGGCACCCCAGACCCACTTTAGCTACGACCCTGTTGTATTGCATTTCTGTTGTAGAAGTAAAAGCACCACTAACCCACGGCATCTGGAAGTCTGCCGACATCATCTATGACATCATCATCATCATCATTGTGTTCCGCCTGCTGCCTTCTACAAAAGGAAAAAACACAACATGTTTTGAGAGAGTGGATGCAGTACAGATATGTAACAGTGGTGTGTGTCTCTGTCCACCTGCTGGCTGTGCTGCAGTGTGTGTTGCTGTCCACAGCAGACAGACAATTTGTCCCGGTGTCTCTGCGTCCGGCTAGAAGAGATCTGGACAGCTGAGCCTGAAACACATGAGAACAAGAAACAGCTCAGTCACTGCTGCAACAGAACATGTCAGCCCTCGTCAGACATCTTGAGTTCTGCTGATCAGTGAGCCCATGTTGTCAGTTTTACTCTTCAAGGAAGAAGGAAGGAAACAGTGAAGTGGTTCTGTATGAACACAGGAGGACGTGTGCACAGTCAGACTGTACACACCTCCTGCGCTCACAGTGCTCCTACTGCAGCATCAAATCCCACTGCTTGAGGCCTCTGTTTGTGATTTCTTACTGGGAAGGAGTCAGTAAGGTTTGTTTACCTCTGCTCCATGATTCAAAGTATGAAAGTGTCAGCTTTTTCTAAAACATGCTTAACCCTCATCAAATCAATGCATGCATGCAAAATCAGTAATTAATGCAACAAGCAGCACACTTCAATCATTATGTTCATATCTTTTCTTTTTGCAGTCTGCAGTTCATGGGGCAGTTATCAATGGTCAATGGTAATTTTATTGTCCCCAATGGGAAATTGATTTGCAGTCTGTCCGTACACAGAGAGACAAAAACAAACAAACACCACAGCCCAAATTTTATCATCAACAAAGTGCAATGTGCAACGCCAACAAGCCTTATGGTTTAGTGTTGCTATGGCTGTAAATGTGTACTTCGGTGACTCCCAAATGCTCTGTGCTAATGAGAATTTCTTTTTCAAGTTTATGTATAATATTTAAAATGTAAAACTTAACCAGATATGGAGGGAAGAGTGAGTTCAATCTTCCCTCCATATCTGGTTCAGGCAGGCAGCTGGAGCTCTGCAGCATCATTCACCAGTGTTGGTCAAGTTACTTTGAAAAAAGTAATCAGTAACTAATTACTGATTACTTCCCCCCCAAAAAGTAATCCCATTACTTCAGTGATTACTTATTTTCAAAAGTAATTAGTTACTTAGTTACTAGTTACTTTTTAAAAACATGATTTACAACCTGAATAGGTGATAAAGCAATAGATCTTTCAGCCCTATTCTACTTTCTGCATAATCCATCATGTAAAATATAATCAAATGGAAAAAGTCCATCCATCCATTCGCTACCGCTTATCCTTTTCAGGGTCACGGGGGGCGCTGGAGCCAATCCCAGCTGTCATAGGGCGAGAGGCAGGGTACACCCTGGACAGGTCGCCAGTCTGTCGCAGGGCTAACACACAAGGACAGCCCCACTCCAATGGCGGGTTGAGTTTGTCAGGACAAATGTGTAAATGACTGGTAGACCGAATTATATATATTGTATTAGTTTTTCGTTTACATGTCTCAGACTGCTTATTGTGTTTGTTTTTTTGTTTTGTTTTGTTTTTTCTCTGTGTTGTTGTTGTGGTAATTGTTTTTGTCTTTTGTTGTCTTTTTTTGTTTGTTTGTTTTTTGTATAAAGGAAAAAGTAAATAAAGATATGATGAAGAAAGAAAACCTGGATGGCCTCAAATTTTCTTACCTTCAACGAGGATAAAACTGTGGTAATTGTTTTTGGACCAAGCTGTAATTTCAATGCCCCAGATTTGGAATTATGTAACCTAACATGTGCTAACATGTTCTTGGATAGCATACTTACATTCAAGAAACAAATTAATTCAGTTGTCCAGCGGTCCTTTTTTAAATTAAGGCTCCGATCCAAAGTGAGATCTTTTTTATCCTTTAGAAACTTGGAACGAGCAATTCATGCGTTTGTTTTATCTCAAAACATTAAGGCCAGGGCTGCCCTTTGTCTCCGGTTCTGTTCATAATTTTTATGGACAGGATTTCTAAGCGCAGCCAAGTGGCGGAGGGCTTTCGCTATGGTGGCCTCAGAATCTCATCTCTGCTTTTTGCAGATGATGTGGTTCTGTTGGCTTCATCGGGTGAGGGCCTCCAGCTCGCACTGGAACGGTTCGCAGCCGAGTGTGAAGCAGCGGGAATGAGGATCAGCACCTCCAAATCTGAGGCCATGGTTCTCAGCCGGAAAAGGGTGGAGTGCCCACTCCGGGTCGGGGATGAGTTCCTGCCCCAAGTGGAGGAGTTCAAGTATCTCGGGGTCTTGTTCGCGAGTGATGGGAGAAGGGAGCCGGAGATCGACAGACGGATTGGGGCTGCAGCTGCAGTAATGCGGACGCTGCACCGGTCCATCGTGGTGAAGAGGGAGCTGAGTGTAAAAGCGAAGCTCTCAATTTACCGGTCGATCTACGTCCCTACCCTCACCTATGGCCACGAGCTGTGGGTAGTGATCGAAAGAACGAGATCGCGGATACGAGCGGCAGAAATGAGCTTCCTCCGAAGGGTGGCTGGCCTCTCCCTTAGAGACAGGGTGAGAAGTTCGGCCATCCGGGAGGGGCTCGGAGTAGAGCAGCTGCAGCTCCACATCGAAAGGAGCCAGCTGAGGTGGTTCGGGCATCTGACAAGGATGCCCCCTGGGCGCCTCCTGGGTGAGGTGTTCCAGGCATGTCCCACCGGGAGGAGGCCCGGGAGAGATTATATCTCTCGGCTGGCCTGGGAACGCCTTGGTATTCCCCCGGATAAACTGGAGGAGGTGGCTGGGGAGAGGGAGGTCTGGGCCTCTTTGCTTAGGCTGCTGCCCCCGCGACCCAGCCTCGGATAAAGCGGATGAGGATGGATGGATGGATGGGTTTTATCTCAATTGGATTACTGCAATTCACTATACTGTATGTGGGTGTCAGTCAGTCCAGCTTGGCCCGGCTCCAACTTGTACAGAATGCTGCAGCTCGCCTTTTGACTCGTGTGAAGAAACACCAACATATTACTCCGGTGCTTGCTTCCCTTCATTGGCTTCCAGTACGTTTTAGAATTAAATTCAAAATCTTACTTTCGACTTATAAAGTGCTAAATGGCCAGGCACCGGACTTTTTGTCTGACCTATTGCAGGTTTATACGCCCTCTAGTGCCCTTCGATCAAGCCATCACCTGCTCCTTACCTTACATAAGTCTAGGATGGTTCATAGAGGAGATCGGGCACCGATTGTGGCACCGAAAATGTGGGATGATCTACCTCCCCACATTAGAAAGGCCCCAACTGTTACTCTTTTTAAATCGCATCTTAAAACATTTTTTTTTACTCTGGCTTTCGAAACTGTATGAGAGTTACCAATTATTTTATCCTCATTTTCTTTTAATTTTCTTACCTGTTGTTGTTGTTGTTAATGTCATTGTTTAATTGTTATTTTGTACAGCACTTTGGTCAACTCCCTGTTGTTTTTAAATGTGCTTTATAAATAAATAAATGAAAATGAAATCTCTTTGTTGCGGCGTTCAGGTAAAGTGTGACCTCAAACCCACCTGAGCGTCGAACAGCTGCCGGTAAACTTCCCCGCTTGGAACCGCGGTGCTCTCACACATGACGATGAGGCTTGCTGCAATCTTCAGTCCAGGCTGACAGTAACACTGTTTAATAACCTTTCTTTCTGTTGTCACACACACTAAACCATGTACCTGCTCGGGCTGAGCGTTTTTCCCGTCACCATGACAATGTAACTTGGACGAAAGCTGTGTGGCGTTCAGGGTCAACGGGAAAAATGTGCATTCTGTTTGCAGTTCCAAGAAATCAAACTTTTCTTACATTTTTACCACTTTCCTGGTGTGAAGGAGTAAAAAGAAGGTAAAACGCAAGTAGCACCGAAGCACCTAAAGCCAGTATGGACAACCAAAGCGATAGACCGAGAAAAACACAGCTTTAGTTATTTGGGCCAACTGTCCCTTTAAATAAACATTGTCATAAACGGAAGCACCGCGACCTCGTCCATGTGTCGAGATGGTTCCTCAAACTGCAGTAAAACAGTAAAGTCCTAACATCCAGTTTGAGGTTCCTCAAAGAGCTCAGCTCCAGTTGACCTTTTCTTCAGACTGTGTCACTCATCAGTTCTGTATTTCATTTTTTTTTTTCACATTTATGTAAATTATTTGAAAATTGCTAGAAAGCAAACCTACTGTAGCTGAAATACTACATGCTGTAGTTATTACTGTTCCAAAATGTAGCTGAAAGTGAACATAAAAAGCTGGAGAGTAAACTTTGCTGGTCTCCAAAACCAGAGAGTGAAAAACAAAAGATCCTCTGACCCTCCACACCATGGAATTGTGAAGAAAACACCTCCGATGACCTCTTGAGGCTGGCTCCAGAAGCGAGTCATACAGACTCCTGTTAAAATTAGGAGCTGTAAAGCGGAGCAGGAGCCTTACTGTCAGATATCCTGAGGTGGAGGAGATTCACTCTATCAGGAGAGATCAGGAGCTCTGAAGAAAATATTGGATCACCTGTCAAAATCTGAAAATTCATCAGCAATAGAAGAAAACTGAAAAATCAGTGCAAGAGCTGATCATATTCTCTCCCTCAGTGATTAACTGTGCTTTATTGAACATTTGCTGCTAATTAAATAGAAAAATTAATCTTCTTGATTGATTAAATACTGAAAAAAGACAAAAATATGTTCTTCTGGGCAAAACAAAACAAAGTTTTATCCTGATTCTAATAATTTAACATCCACAACACTTCATACAAAAATCAAACTTTTAAGAAATTAAATAGGAATAACAAGAAACAGAGTTTTGAAAAATGTTTTATGACATCAAGCTCAATTTATAAATTCTTTAAATCCCACAGTAAAATGAATTTTAACAAAGTTCTTAAATCAAACTTCACAAAAACGAAATCAGATTATTTTGGTTGCCTGTTCTGCTCATGCTTGGCTCTATGTTTTTATTCTGGGTTTCCACTACAAGATCACCTTTTTTTTGTTTAATTTTATTTAAATTCTTCCTTCTCAAAAAGACTGAGCCTCCCTGTTTCAACGGCTTCTGGAGGCCTGCTGAAGAGCAGCGCCTGTGCTGATGATCTGTACTGTCTGTAGTTTGTAGGCATTCTGTACCTGCGGCAGGTTATTATATAAATACATTTGTGACAAGCTGACATCAGTTTGTGATGGAAGCCAGAAAAAGAAAAAGAAAAAAGGAAGCTGAAAACATAATCCAGAACTTTGGCTCGCAGGCATTACTTCTACACATCACTGTCATTATTTGAAACTTTTATCATGTTCATAATAAAGACAAGCCACACTGTAAATTACATATAGACAGAAGTAAAGAAGAAAAATCAGATTATGTACACTGCAACAAAAGTCATCAATAAAAAAATATGGGTTATTGGGGTGTTTGAATGCCATGGAAAGTGACATTCAGACAAAAAAAAAGAAAAATAAACATTGTTAATAAATAATACCTATTTAATTTACCTTCAGTACCTAATTATTCAAAGTTAATTGTAATTTTTAATTAAGAATTTTTAAAAGCCATTAGTAAAGTTTTAATTGGTTTTATAATGTCAATAATTTGTGTTTAAAATAATGGTAATGATATCAATTATAATTTTATAGCATTTATGTTGCATTATGTATTCAATCATAGCAGATAAGACACGCTAACTGCATTTTGCAGACATAATGATTTTGGTGTCCAGCAACATTCATCAAAATAGTAAAGTGAGACCAGTTTCAATTTCAAATCATTATATTTTAAACCAGGATCTCTCCCTAAAGCTAGTGAAAGAAACAAGAACAAAAACAACAACCTCCAGGTTCACAGCCGCTGATGTCAAGCCTACTTATACAAAGTAAATACTGTATACTAAGCATCGCTTCATTATTTATAATAACAATTCAATTAATATGTAGCAAAGTCTAAATGAAGTATCAGAGTCTGGAATCTGAGATTTTCTCCGGCTTCCAGGTAGCACTTTTTGTATTGAACAAAACAAATCATTTCGACAAACACTGCAAGTTTCCTGATTTCAGAGCATGAAATGTTACAGTGAAAAAATTAACTTCTAGGTGAAGAAAAAGCCAACTTCAGATTCAATTGGAAACTGAAAGCTCTGTCAATTTTTAGAAATCTGAGCAGATTTGGATCCACTGTTTGGTCATGGTCTGGTCTTTCTGTGCTTTTCCTGAGTTGAAATCTTATTTAGCAGGCGGAGAGTTCTTTTTGTCTTTGGGATCGTATCTCAGAGAGCAATGGCATGTAAAGTTAAAGCTTTCATGCTTTAACTTGGAAAGATTATTTAAAATAACTAGAAACCATAGGATGTACAACTTTACATCTCTGCATCAACCCAACATACCGCATCTTCTCATCGCTCTTCTCACTGATCACATAACTACATACATCATAGACACTAGTTTAACTAGTGTGCTACCAGAAACAGTGCCAGTGCAGAGCCAATTCTGACTTGGTGAAAATCATGGCAGACCGAATCTGTAAGCTGCATTTGCCCTTCCCATAGTCACCAGCAGCAGTGGTTTCAACTTTGGACACAACAATTTTGTTAGGAACAAAGTTTTTAGCATCAGTAAGAGTCATTTCTTGTGGAATTGTCAACTATGGGAAAAGCAATAAATGTGTCCATTCCATAGACTGTATGTTAAAGTTGGACAAATCTTCATGAAAGTGCCTGAATTATTTCTAATGGCCAGGAGGGGGCGACTTCTCTGGTTGCAAAAAGACTTCCAGTTGTGTAAAAATCAATAAGAAAATCACAAGTTGTCAGCCAATGAGCACGTGGCATTTGTTTTTGTGGGGTTTTTTTCATCAAAATGCTCAGTTGAAGGCTTCACCAACCTAGAAGTGATGTCTCATTGGGTGCATCCATCTTCTACACCAGGTGAAAGCACCTTCTGTTTTGATACACCTTAACTGTGGAATATCCCACCTCGTTATATCATAATTATGATCTCTGTCAATGATTTTAAAGGAAAATTTCCCGCGTTTAATGTGAAATATTAATACATATATTATAGTTATAAGGGGAATCCAGAAAAGTGTCTAGAAGTGACATGACCACCAGGGATAATAGAAAGTCAATGGAATTAAGTTATGTCAAGATGAAATGACCTTTGGCGATGCGAAGTGGGCGGGTCTGAGTTAAACTTTTCTCAACTTCAAGCTGAGCGTTTTAAATGACTGCCGGTGAATCCAAAGATGCTGCTAATTCACAAATGAAAGGGTGGTAAACACCTCAGCGACGTACCTAAGCAGCTTGAAGCTGGAACGTCTACTCGTGACCAATCGTCTGCTACAAAATTTCTACATACTGCTTCCTCTGTCAACTCCCCTTAGGGCCAGATTTTCTAACGGTCTGCAGCAGCACAAAACCCTCATCAGGTTGTGCTGCTCTTGGTTCATTTCTCATTACTGAAATAAACTGGCTGGATCTAGTTTTTAAATGAGCGACGTTAACAAGTGAGATGCAGAATTTCCTCTCCCATCTCTGCACTTTTGCAAATGCAGCATCACACAATCTTGCATCCTTCCGTAAATCTGGCCTTCAGTTTTTAGGTTGACAGTTGTGATGTATTGTTGCTATTAAGTTTACATTTCTTTTCTTTAAGTCCCATTAGGAATTCTTGGGTTAAAAATAAACAGCTATATGTTGTCTTAATTTGTCTGAAGTAAAACTTAAATGCTGCTTCTTAGAGTTGTTTTGGTGTTGCCATATGGAGCACTTTGAGCTGCAGGTTGGTAAAAATATGCCATGCATTTAACATTAAATACATTCATGGCGTCACATCAGTCAGAGTCGGTGATGTCGCTGCTGTCGTCGAGGTTACAGGCTATATATTCTGTACTGTTGAGCTTTGACCTGAGGGCTCGCTTCCTGTTGGAAATAAGAACACAGTCATACTCACACTGTATGCATGTACAGATGTATAGAAATAAAGTTTTAAAAAGCCAGTACTAACCTGCGGTAAACAAAGTTTGAACGACCTCTAAAACAGACTTCTGCTTGCTCCTCCTCCTGTAGACGAACAGACAGGCTTTGAAGTCTCTTCCAAACACCATGAGTTAAATTAGCAGTGTGAATAAGGCACGTAGAAATTACCCATGATGCAGTATTACTGGATTTGAAGCCAGGCTCGACGATTTCTCCTGAAGAGTCATTCTGCTGCCGCTGAGCCTCGTCGTTCTCCCCCGACGTCCCGCTGCGAACCTCCTCACTGCTGCCTGTTCACACAAAACCACTGCACGTGACATCACCTCACATTACCCCGTGTCATCTCATCACATGACATGACTGACCTTTAGCGGTGCTCTTTGGAGGCTCCTCCTCTTCCTCGCTGCTCACACTCCTTTCACACTGAGGACAGAAGCCGGTGTTATTACCTCAATACTTCACCTTCATAAAATCCCTCCTCCTCCAGCTCCTCCAGCTGCTCCTCACCTGATGAGAGTTGGAAGTGATTCTGCGGAGGCGTGTCATCAGCTGTAGCCCCTCCCCCTGTGACCTCAGCAGCAGAAGCTCCAGCCTGTCTATTTGCTCAGTCAGCTTTCTGACCTGCTCCCTGTACTGGTCTTTCTCCTGCAGGAGTACCCGTGCCTCCTCATGCTTCTCTGACTGCGATGACAGCGCCTGAAGAACAGACCAGAGTTAACACCCACCAACATTCTGCCCCACCTCCCGTTCTTAACCCTTCTCCTTCTCAGGCTCCTCACCTTTTCTCTCTCCCTGATCACCTCTTCCAGCTGTCTCAGGGTTTGCTTGTTTTGTTGACGGTAGATCTTGGCATCTCCTTTCAGCTGAGCACAGCGCAGTTCCAGTTCCTCTTTCTCCTCCAAAGTCTGAAAACAAACACATTCAGGCTTGCAAAACCAAGAATGAGATTCATACACACACACATACAGCCTCCAGCAGTTGCACTTGATAGCTGACACATGACACACTCGAGGGATTCACATCAAATAGAAGCATGCATGTGGATTTCCTGCTACTCTTTGCCCCAATAAAACATCCTTTTACTGTGGCATGAGCAATGCTGCTGCTCAGAAACACCATGGTGCACATTCACTACTAACTAAACTCAACCTAAAACCACATATCGCTGAAAATATGACAAAAGTAATGATTCATCACAAGGAACATCTCAGAGATTACACTTATCTTGAAACGTATCCTCCAGTTTATCCGGGGGAACACCAAGGCATTCCCAGGCCAGCTGAGAGATATAATCTCGACAGCGTGTCCTGGGTCTGCCCTGGGGCCTCCTCCCGGTGGGACATGCTCGGAAAACCTCGCACAGGAGGCGCCCAGGGGGCATCCTTGTCAAATGCCCGAACCACCTCAACTGGCTCATTTTGATGTGGAGGAGCAGCAAGTCTACTCTGAGCCCATCCCGAATGGCCGAACTTCTCATCCTCTCTAAGGGAGAGGCCAGCCACCCTTCAGAGGAAGCCCATTTCCGCCACTTGTATTCGCGATCTCGTTCTTTCGGTCACTACCCACAGCTCATGACCACACTCCACCCTCTAATCCAAATATGGTCACTTAAGGGTTCCAGAAAACTAAATGGAATCAGCCAAAATGCTAATATTACATGTGATACATTCTACAATTTAAATTTCCCTGAATGCATCATATTTATTTGCTTAAAGGGAGCGGCTTTGCATTCTGTTAGCCATGTGCTATAGTCTTGTTTGAAACTACCGGTGCTCCTCACCCTGGCTCTCTGCTCCTCTGTTTTGTGGAGTTCTCTCCTCAGTCTGAACACAGTGGAGAGGAGGTTCATCATAGGAGCTTTGCTCTCCTGCTTCTCCTGCTGCTGCTGCTGCTGCTTTGGTGCCTCCTCCTTCTTCTCCTGCTTTTTCTCCTCCTGTTTCTCCTCTTTCAGCTCCTCCACTTTATCCGGGTGGAAAAAGGTCTCAGTGGGCAAAGCTAGACTCTTGCTCTGAAATACACAAGTTAACACGTTAATCTAAGTGGTGTTTTTTAACCTTTAAACAGTTTTTAAGCTCTGCAAAAAGAACCGAAGTGTAGTCTGGGATAAGAGGTGTGCAAAATACTTTTCACTACTAATCAGTTCATGTGGGATAACACATGAAAGGTGTTTGAATTGTTTGTTAAAGTGTAGCTGTGAAAACTGCCTTTAAAACCAAGTCCAGTGCAACAAAATTGTAGTGAAAAGCAGATTCTAGGCAAAGCAGCAGAAACAGTCATGTGAAAGTTTTGGTCTTCACCAAACATTGCTCAGTGTGCTACGGCCGAACATCTCCACTTTGGTTGTTTCTATCCACAGGATGTGGTTGTGGTTTCTTCACATGCAACCTTGGAAACCTAAGCTGTGCTGCCATGCTTTCTCGTGGCAACCCTTCCAAACAAGCATTCATATTCAGTCTTTTTTTCTCATTGTATAGTCATGAATTTTGATATTTTCTTAGCTTTTCACAGGACTGCAAAGCCATGTGAAATCTTCCTCTTTCATGTGGCTGTAGTTATGTAATGTAACCTGCAGGTATGAGCTCAAACTAAAAACACTCAACAGTCAAAGCTGAATAATTCATACATAGCTGTAGTGAGGGTCAGATAAAAGGTAAAAGGGTGTGTGTTAGATATCCAGTACCACCTGGAGTGGTCTCAGTGTTCGTCGCCTCAGCAGTCGAGTCTGGTTTTCTGCTCGCATCACTGTGTGTTTCAGGCGCTCTACCTACACACATAGAGGTCAGAGGTCAGGCTCTATCTCTGTTTTTTTTTTTTTTTT